GAGTGTCCAGGTATTGCCCTTTCTCAATCATCCTATAAAGTAACTAAGAGGAATTTTTAATCTTAAAACTTTTTACCCTTTTATAGCTCTGGGAAATTTTCCCCGATCATTTCTTTATTTTGTACTGTGATCAACAGAATAATGGTCTCCCCAAAGATGTCCACATCCTAATCCCTGGAACGCTGTTAATGTGCCATCTTATATGGAAAAGAGACTTTACAGATGTGAGATCTTGAGACGGGGAGATTTTCCTGGATTAGCTGTGTGAGCCCAGTGTCATCACAAGGGCTCTGGCAAGAGGCAGGCTACAGGGTCAGAGTCAGAAAAGGCGATATGACAGCAGATGGAGAAGAAGAGAGGGCAATGTTGTGATGGGAGCAGGGGTCACAGAGAGAGAGTCTTGAAGATGCTACACAGCTGGTCTTGAAGGTGGAGGAAGGGGGCATGAGCCAAGAATGCAGTCAACTTTCAGAAGCTAGAAAAGGCAGGGGCCTCTGGGTGGCTCAGTCGGTTAAGCATCCAACTTTGGCTCAGGTCATGATCTCACAGCTCGTGGGTTTGAGCCCCCCATCGGTCTCTGTGCTGACAGCTCAGAGCCTGGACCCTGCTTCAGATTCTGTGTGTGTGTGTCTCTCTCTACCCCTCCCCTGCTCAAGCTTTGCCTCTCTCTCTCTCTCTCTCAAAAATAAACATTAAAAAAAATAAAACAAACAAAAAAACTGGAAAAGGAAAGGAATTCATTCTTAGAGCTTCCAGAAGGAATATAGCCCTGCTGACACTTTGACTTCAGGACTTCTGATGTCAGTAAGTGTAAAATAATACGTTTGTGTTGTTTCAAGCCTCTAAATTCATCACAGCAGCAATAGGGACCAATACACTTACCCTGCACTTTCTGTCCTGTTCCTTGTTTCTGAACTCTTACTGACACATTTTGGACACCATGGACTGATGCTACACATCTCTTAACTTTCTTTCACCTTTTTCTTCATCTTCTTGTCTTTTTGCCCTACCATCTGGGAAGTTTCTTTGACTACATTCTCCCATCCTTCTCCTGAGTTCTTCTTCCAATTGTATTTTGAATTTCTGTGAACTTTTTCTTGTTCCCTGATTTTTCCTTTCTGTAGCTTCCTGTTCCTATTTTGTGAATGCAATACATTCTCAAAAGTCTCTGAAGTGTTAATCATGACTTTTAGATTTACTCATTGCCTTTGATATCTCTATCTTTCCAGAACAGCTGTTACTTTTGCTCTTCGGGGTCCTTCTCTCTTGTGGGGACTGTTTTCTTGGTTGCCTGTTTACATGTACAAATGAAAGACAAGACTGATGCATATAGACAGCTGGCAAGGCTTCTGTCTGTGGTTCCCAGGTCTGTTTACTCAGCAGGCCTCACCCCTTCCCGAGAAGGTTGGCTTGAGTTCTGCGTAGAGGGTGACTCATAGTAACTGGCAGCCTTCACTCGAGGGTGCCGGGACTCCTCACCCCACAAAAAGATCCAACTAATGAGGGCTTTACTCAGGTGGGTACTAAGCCTCCTTCCAAGGTCATTTCCAAGTGCAAACACAGCACTGCTGGCTTCTTGGTGGAGCCTGGGTTAAAGGAGAGCAGAGTGCTCTCCTCACTGTTCCACGGATGGTCCTTGAACCAACTCTTCTCTCCCCACCACTGAAGCCCCTGGCCAACTCCTGTTCTCCAGCTTCAGACTCTGAACTCACAACTTTTCCAGGTGCTCAGGGAGGCTGATACCTCTACCCAGGCTGCCTCTTGCATACATAGTGGGCTGCAGTCTCCTCAGCCATGGGTTTTTAATCAATACGATCATGCCTGATTTTTTTGTTCTAGAAATCTATGAAAGTCGCAAGTTCCCTGATACTCGTCCATGCCCTCATTCTCTTCACAAGTCTGCTGGGATTATGTGATGTTGCCATTTCCAGAAGTTTTGGAGAAGGGAAGGAATTCATTCTGCCCTCTGGACACCTAAGCTCTCTGATAGGTCTATACAAGATACAGGTAGCTGTCACCGTACTAGTGGTAACATGTCTCTGTGCAGGAAGCCTCTTCCTTGACAAGACGAGGGCCATCCCACCACTGAATTGCCTTAGCTTAGCTACAGTATTCTAGTCTAATGAGATTCTTAGAAGGACTGGCTAACCTTTGACATGAGAAACATAATTGATTCTAAACGCTCTGAAAGTGGTGTATGGGAGAGGACTATCTTTGGCTGTGGGTGAAAACCAGTAGTGACATTAAAGAGACAGTGGTGTACTTGGTGCAGGAGGTAGGAAGGCCTGCTAGGGAGGCTGCTGCATGTCGAGGTTTAGGCTCTATCCCTCCCATGCTTTGCTGTGTGCGGCCCCCACTCCTAGATCACCACATGGTCCAAGGGGACAGCTCCAGCTCTGGTCATCGTGTCCACATTCCAGCCAGCAGAAGAAGAAAGAAGGAAGAAGGGCTAATCCACTCTTTTTAATGCTATTTCCTGGAACGGAAATCGCTCATGATGCTGCCATTCGAACGCCACTGGCCGGATCTGGTCCAGATAGCTGTGTGCCAAGCTTGACCCTGAGGGTTTCATTATTAAGGAAGGAGCATATATGGTGGGGCCAGCCAGGGGCAGGCAATATGTCCCCTCCATGACTTTACTATCTCCACAGGCCTGAACATCATGGGTACTTGGGAAGAAAGCAGGCTGACTGTCCATGGCTCAGAATGGTCTACTCATTCCTCACTCCCTTTGCTCTGGCCTGAATGTTTGTGCCCCCATCACCCCAGAACCCACATGTTGGAATCCATACACCCAACAGGATGGTGTTAGGAAGTGAGGCCTTTGGAAGGAGATTAGGTCATGAGGGAGGAGACTTCATGAATGGGATTCGTGCTGTTTAAATTTTTTTTTTAGTTTATTTATTTATTTTTCAGAGACAGAGACAGTGTGAGTGGGGGAGGGGCAGATAGAGAGGGAGAGAGAATCCTAAGCAGCCTCTGCATTGCCAGTGTAGAGCCTGACAAGGACCTCAAACTCACGAAACCATGAGATCATGACCTGAGCCAAAACCAAGAGTCAGACGCTTAACCGAGTGAGCCAGGCGCCCCTGGGATTCGTGCTCTTATACAAGAGCCCCACTGAGCTCTCAAGCTTCTCCCTTCTGCCCCGTGAGGCTACCAGTAAGAACTCTGCAGCTCAAAAGAGGACCTTCACCCAAGCAGACTGACTTCCTGATCTCACACTTCCAGTTTCCAGAAGTATGAGAAATAAGTTTGTGTTGTTCATAAGCACCCAGTCTGTGCTAATTTGTTATAGCAGACGGAACACACTAAGACCCCCATTTCCTGGGCCTTGAAGACTGGTACAATATTTTTTCTGGAGTTAAGAATTCTGGGGCCAGAGTTAATGTTCCATTAATTATTTGCCAGACACCCAGCTTCATTGTGGTCCCTGATTTTAAATACATCACCCAGAACTACCCAGACCAGAGTGAAAGTCTTGCCCCTCATTGGTTCAGAGTTGCAAAGACGTTAAAAGAATCAGGGACGTAGCTGTCCTTGAACATTCAGGGGTCAAGGGTGGTTTGAACTAGCAACAGAGCTGTGGAGCGAAAGTCGATAAACAACTTGTTTCCCAAGGCCTTTGTGTAGCCCGCCCTTCCTCTCCTCCGCTTTTCCTGCTGCGTCCCAAGGGACCTGCGCCCTGCGCATCAGTTCTGCTGGAACAAGTTATGGTAAGGGCGGCTTCGAAAGAAGAAAACAATTCACAAGTGCCCTCGCCGGTCCCTCCAATGCAAACATTTTCCAAAGTATTTTTTCCACATTTTCGCATCTCTTGTTTGAATAAGTCCCCATTTACTGCTGCTGGCTGAGCCAGAACAGTCTACACATCCCAGGGGAGGGCCTGCCCCAATAGAAAGAATTCCAGACTAACTAGCTGAAGAAATAAGTATTTGGTAATGAGCGTGCAGAGGACACTGAGCCTGCCTTCCCAAGCTCCACCTTGGGCTTCCTGTGGCTGCTACTGCCAGGAAAACAGCTTCTTATCCACTCTGGCAGTTAGGGGAAATGTGACAGCCCTGGATCTGGTGCCTGCAAAAGGTGTTTACTGGGTCCTGCTCCAGATGGGAACATTCAGGCTCAGTCCCCTCTTCTCCTACATGAAGTCTTCACTCATCCTCTGACTACACTGCCTTTCTGGGGCCTTTGACATCTGGGGCTGCCTGGGGGACCTGAGCCTGCCTCATCTCCATGGCTAATGAAGTGTCCCAAGGCACTGGTTGCCCCCCCTCCATCCCCCTCTAAGTCATGCTTCTGTGGGAGGGGTCCCAACCAATCTCCTGTCCTTACTTAAACCTCCTCCTTTCAGAGGATGACAGAGGCACATCTTTGGGCACCAGGGCCCCTCCCACAGAGAGGCTGAGTACTGGCCCTGGGGGTCAAGAGTCTGGGGAGCAAGAGAGCCAGGAAAAAAACTTGCACCCCGGCTCACAGCCTGGCCATCTTGCTCTGTCCTGCCTGCTAGCTTCAAGCATAATCGTCCTCAAGGAAACTGCCTGTGCTGAGAGGTCAGAGGCTATTTCTGGACATACTGTGTATTCCCCACCACTGGAGAGACCACTGCTCACCTGTCTTTCACCTCTCCTTGGGGGTGAATTGCATTTTCCAAAGTTAGCAACAAACGGGATCTCTAACCAACTGAACCTTTGATCTTTGTACAGCCAGCTCTGACCATCTTCCTGCAGAGAGGGAGGGGCTATTTCCCCTTCTCCCAAATCCAGGGATGGTGCCACTCTGGGGTAAGTGATGCTATTCGACTTCTGAGGCCAAGTTACAAATGACGAGACAATTTCTGCCTGGCCCTCTTGGGACTCTCCACTTTGAAAAAAAAATTTTAATGTTTATTTTTTGAGAGAGAGAGACAGTATGAGTGGGGTAGGGGCAGAGAAAGAAGGACACATAGAATCCAAAGCAGGCTGCAATCTCTGAGCTGTCAGCACAGAGCCCGATGTAGGGCTCAAACTCACAAACCATGAGATCATGACCTGAGCTAAAATCGGAGGCTTAACCAACTGAGCTACCCAGGTGCCCCTGGACTCTTTGCTTTGAAATGCAACTACCATGCTGTAGAGAGGCCAAACCTGCACAGAAGCCACATGGAAGTTTCTCAAAGCAGTCCAAGCCAGCATGTGAGGAGGCAACTCTTCAGGTGAGCAGCCCCAAGTCCAGGGGTCCCCTCAGGCTTGGAGTCCTGCCAGGGAGGTCCCAGATGCTGTGAACAGATTCTAGCTTTCCTTGATGTTGTCTTTCCCAAATTCTGATGCTCAGAAACATAATAAAATGATCTAAGCTGCTATGTTTGGGGTAACTCATTATCAGTAACTGCATCCTTTCTCTTACAGAAACATCACACTTCCTGCTCCCTTGAAATCTGTGACCCTGTGACTTGCTGTGGGCAATGCAATTTGAGTGGAAATGATGTATGACAGTGTTTCATTGCTTGGCTCCATTCTTTGCCTGTTCTTCTGGAAGACATGGAGATGTTGTCTCTGTGGGTCACATTGGACATATGGTAGGAGGAAAACACAAGAGTTTTGTTTCCAACCACTGAGATTTGGGGGTTGTTTGTCACCACGTCATATTGTGTCCTGACTGATACACACACTGTTCCAGATGCAGTTGCCTGGCTCAGGGGAGACCATTGCTTATGGACTGAACACTATAGACTCTGGTGTCCTGATCCCCTACTTGTCCTGTCTCATGGCTTTCCCATCAAACTTAGGGAAGATTCTCTCAATGCAGGGCTTACCCTTTTATACTTTTCCAGAAGCTCTTCAGTGCCAGAAGAACATGCTGTTGACCAGACCCAGGACAAGCTGGGCACATCCAAGTTCTGGTCCAGCCCCTGGAGACAGTGGCCTCAAACATGAGGGCCATCTGGGTTCAGAGGAGCAGACAGTTGGCCATGCAGCCAGAAGAAGGATAGGGACCTAGGAGCTAGAGAGCTAGGTTTAGGTCCTTGCACTGCCTTGGGTAAGTCCTCTGCTTATGAGCCTCAGTTCCCTCATTTGTAAAATGGCATAACCTCAGTGTCTTGGTCTGTTCGGGCTGTTGTAATAGGATACCATAGACTGGTGACTTCTAAACAACAATACAGATTTTCCCCCACTTAGGATGAGATTAAATCCCAGTAAACCCATCATAAGTTGAAAATACCTTGCACCAAGGAACACCTGGGTGGCTCAGTTGGTTGAGCGTCTGACTTCGGCTCAGGTCATGATCTCGTGGTTTGTGAGTTCAAGCCCCACATTAGCCTCTGTGCTGATAGTACAGAGCCTGCTTGGGATTCTCTGTCTTTCTTTCTCTCTCTCTCTCTCTCAAAAATGAACATTAAAAGAAATATCTTAAGTCGAAAATGCATTTAATACACCTAATGTAGTAAACATAACTAGCCTAGCATACCTTAAACTTGCTCAGAACATTTCCATTACCCTACAGTTGGGCAAAATAATCTTACACAAAGCCTATTTATAATAAAGCATTGACTACCTCATATAATTTGCTGATTACTATACTGAAGGTGAAGAACCAACCAGCTGTGGGTGTGTGGGTTGTTTACCCTCATGATCGCATGGCTGACTGGGAGCTGTGGCACCCGCCACCACCCCGCATCACAGGAGAGCAGCATACTGCAGATCACTAGCGCAGGAAAAGATCAAAATCCAAAATTCAAAGCATGGTTTCTACCAAATAGATGTTGCTTTTGCACCATCATAAAGTCAAAAAATCATTAAAACAAACCATTGTAAGTCAGGCAACTTTTGTGTTTATTTCTCACTGTTCTGGATACCAGAAGCCCAAGATGAAGACACTAGAAGATTAAGTGTCTAATAAGAGTTCTCTTCCTGGTTTATAGACAAGTGTCTTCTCGCTGCGTCCTCACATGGTGGAAAGGATGTGGCAGCTCTCTGGGGTCTTCTTTACAGGAGCACTAGTCCCACTCACAAGGGTTCCACCGTCGTGACCTAATCACCTCCCAGAGGCCCTACCTCCTAATGCCATCATATTAGGGGTTAGGATTTTGACATATGAATTTAGGGAGGACACAAACACTCAGACCATAGCATAATGTCTTCCCTCACAGGGCTATTATTTAGAGGATCAAATTCCCATGCGAAGGGCTCTACCCAGGTCAACAGCACAGGTGGCACCATTCAGTGGCAGCCATTGTTCCTGAACGTGTGCTTTTACACCCAGCACACACCATCACATCCAGAAGGAAAGGTGCAGTCCCCAGCCACATGCTCCAAGCAGATAGCCCATTAATTACCTCCTTCACCTCCCCAGACCCATGCCTTGTCTCAGGCAAGCTTGGATGGTTCAACTCCTTGTCCCCAAGGGACCTCCCTGTGCAGGTGGGCAACACATTCAAATAACTCTATCTGGAATGACTGGCAGACTTAGTGAAAAAATCATAACTTTGCAGGATAAAAGATAATGTCTCTTCATCTTCCAAGGTTGGGCTTTTGACTGATTACTGCACCTCCCTCAAAAGGTTGCATGGAGGTGTCAGTAAGGTAATGGCAACTGTATGCTGCTCAGTGCTCAGGCCATAATCTTGGAGCCACTTCATCCTCCTTCTTTCTTGCATGTGTCATATCCACCAAATCCAGTCATTGGTCCCTTCGCAGTGTGGTCAACATCCAACAACTATCACACACACACACACACACACACAACCACCACCACTACGCACACTGTCTCAGGACATCTCTCCAACAACTGCCTCCTGCCTGGTCTCTGGCTTCCCCTTCCCCACCCCTCCTTTCTCCACACAGCACAGTGATCCATTTAAAACCCAAGCCGAAACTCTAGCATATTTCCCAAAGCCACCAAGCAACTCTCCAATTCTCAGCAAACATCAACTGGATGGATGTCCCACAAATTTAACTCAACTCAGATACGACCTACCTGGATACGGCATCAGATCCCACAGCTTAGGGGTTCAGGCCCATGAGAGAGGCCCCCACTTCAGACACCAGTTACAAGTCCAGGTTGTCACCTGTGCTTCTGACCACCTGGCTGTAAATCAGAGTTCCCATGACCTCCTTCTTGGGTTCAATTAATTTGCTAGAGCAGCTCAGAGAACTTCAAGAGCACTTACTTACAAGTCCCAGTTTATTATAGAGGATACAGATGGAAAACCAGATAAAGAGGTATACAGGGCAAGATCTGGAAGGGTCTTAGATGCAGGGGCTTCTGTCTCTGAGGAACTGGGGTATGCCACCCTCCCCGCATGTGGAGGTATTCACTGACCTGGAAGCTCATCAAATCTTGTTGTTCAAGAGGTTTTATGGAGCTTAATCTGCAGCCCCCCCCCCCCATCCTTCTCCTTCCCAGAGGTCAGTGGGAGGGACTGAAAATTCTAACCTTCTAATTCTTCAGTCTTTCTAGTGACCAGCCTATCCTGCAAGCAAGCAAGTGCCCCACCCTAAGTCACCTCATTAGCATAAACTCAGATGTGTTCAAATAACAAAAGACACTCCTATCACTCAAGAAATTCCAAGGGTTTTAGGAGTTTTGTGCTAGGAGCCAGGGACAAGACCAAATACGTTTCTTCTTATACCACAGGGCCAGTCACCCCTCTGCTCTCCTCCAGCCTTGGGCCTAGGAGCTGTCCTGCCCACACCTTCATCTCAAGACCTTGAATTTGCCCTTCTGTCTGCCTGGAAACTCTTCACCTGGATATCGGTAAGCCCCATTAACTCAGCTTTCTCAGATGTTTATTTAAATGTCCCTGTTCCAGGAGGGCTTCCTGGTCAACCCATTTAAACCTGTAGACCACCCCTCCCACTTGGGGTCCCCTTCCCTTCATTATTGTTATCTGTTTATCACTATCACCACCTGACACACAATCAGGTGTTTATTGCCCCTTGCCCAATTAAAATCCAAGCATGAGAAGGGCATCTGGGTGGCTCAGTCGGTTAAGCGTCTGACTCCTGACTTTGGCTCTGGTCATGGCGTCACAGTTTCTGAGTCTGACCCCACATCAGGCTCTGTGCTGACAGTGCAAAGCCTGCTTGAGATTCCCTCTCTCCCTCTTTCTCTCTGCTCCTCCCCTGCGCTCTCTCTCTTTCTCTGTGTCTCTCAAAATAAATCAATAAAATAAACTTTAAAAAAATAAAATGAAATAAAATCCAAGCATGGAAGTGAAAGCAGGGCTTCATCTTCATCTATTCCACTGCCCTCACTCTGGCGATTCCTGGGAGTAAATTCATGTGGGAATGCCGTTTTCCCAGTGACAAATGCAAAGCAAGGGGACAGGAGGGTGAGGATGGAATGACAGAGCAGGACCCAGCACCTGGCAGGCAGATGAGAACAACTTGCTACAGCTTCTGTGGATCCAAGTGGCACTGAGAGAAACCTGGAGGTCTGAGTTACCCTTCCCACAGCAAGTACAGTGGAAAGCCCCTGGGTGAGGGTCAGAAACAGAGTTCAAAGGGGATCGCTAAAGATGCGAGGGGTCGGTCATCCAGCAAAAGGGCCCTGGAACCCTCAAGGCACTGACGTGGGGGACCCAGTGTGGAAGAAGTCCTGGAACTCGGAGCCAAGTTCTCACTTCCTCCCTGGCAAACCCGGACGAAACATGTGAGACAGAACAAGCCTGAGGCCCATGTGAGCACAAAGAGCTCCTGGGCCACAGGACCCTGCCTGGCAGTGGTTGGTGCCCCTGTGCCCTGCAGCAACCCCACCCTAGCACACCCACCCATGGTGAGCTAGCTCTGACTCAGACTGTCCTGCACCCAGCCCATGGATGGTGGTTGGGTGGTTTTCGGCACTCTTGGACCCATCTTGGAACAGAGGGGGCAGGCCCAGGCCTGGACCAAGAGCAGTGGGTGTCAAGGAACCCCCAGAGGCTAGCCTAACACCTGCATGGGCCTGATGGCTCCAGGAAGCCAAAAGGATTATCTGGTGGTTTGGCACAGTTGACCCCAGAAAATGCAGGGATGCAGATACCCTGCCAGGTGAGTTTCCACCCTTGTTCCCCCCATCAATCCTTGGCTCTTGAGGACCTGCCAGGCTAAGGCCCCTTCTATTTCCAAGGGATCTCAATTCCCCTCAGAGGGGTATTAGATAAGCATGGCTGAGGGGGTCTTAGCTCTACCTCTGACCAGCGCTGTCCTCCTCCAGGACAGCCTGCATCATCCTCTCCAGAAAGGCAGTGAGAGGGACCTTGGACTCTGCCAGGGACACACAGGGCCCTGGGGCCAGGATGAGGCTGGTCTTCCCCAATCACAGTCTCCAGGGAAAACCTCACTGAGGATGCAGCCCCACCCAGTGGGCGGATCAAAGAAGGTCGCGTGGGCGAGTTCATTGGGGCTGGCCCCACACTTCCAGGCCTGGCTGCCCAGTTGTCCGCCCACTGGGCGCCTGTGGCTGCCCTGGCCAGGAGGGGAGAGGGGTACTGTGGTGAGGCCCGCCTTCCTGCTTCGCAGCTACACAGCTCCAGGGCCTTGGCCTCCTGCCTGGTCTCTCCAGGGCCTGGGGTCCTGCTCCCAAGTCAGTCCTGATGTAGCACTGCAGCCCCGAGGCAAAGATGGCTCAGAGAGACTTGTTGCTGAGCCCTGGGGACAGGGGGCACCTCCCTTCTGGATTGGGCCCAGAGGTCAGTCAGACCTTGCTCCAGGGCATTCCTGGCTGGCAGGCAGGCAGGCAGGCACCTGCATAGGGAGGGGGACAACAACATTGAACACATCCCTGGAACAGACACTGAACTTGAGCCTGGGAGTGTATAGTGGGGTTGGCCCCACAACAGAGCTGTCACGACTCCCACCAGCCACTACACACAGATGCCAAGAACTGGCTTGGAGGTTTCTCCCCTCCTCTTGTAACATTTGTCAGTAAAGCTCAGGTTTGGTCTCTTCTGTCCCCTTGCAGCCCTGTCCCCTGATGCTTGCTCACTGGGGAGATGCTCTTGCTTGGGAGGGCTGGGCTCCCACAGGTTATAGGGGGAGGGAGGAAGCCTGGAAAACACCACAATTAGGCCCCACCCCGAGCACGGTGTGCTTTGTGATGGGAACCTGTCCAGGCAAAGGCCTTATCTTAGGGATCTGGCAAATTACTGGGTAGCCATCAGAATGGAGCCAGAGCACAGACGTGCGTGCAGCAGGCACCTTATTAGGCTAATTATGAGCTGGCTCCTTGGCCCACCGATACTGAGTAAAATGTAAAATAAACTTAGGGTTGGCCTAGAAAGCCACTCCAAGGTGGTGTTTTCCTTGGGAGGAGTGCTTGCCAAAGGTCCTCTGGCTGAGGCCCCGGGGGGGAAAATGTGGAAGAAGTGTCAGGGTGGAGAACCCCAAAAAGAGCAGAGAGATCTGCAGACCCAAAACCAACCTACAAACTGCACAAACCCCTCCCCCACTTCCTTATCTGTAAAGTTCATCCCTTCACATGTATAATGTGCCAGGAATTCCTGGCCCCTGGGTTTGGTTGATATGATAACGTTACTAATACAACTGGCTCTGCACTCTACACCGATTAGCTCATTTAATCCTTGAAGTAAACCCATTCTCTTTTCACAGATGGGAAAACTGAGGCCCAGAGATGTTAAAGAGCTTGCTGACAACTGTCAGAGCCTGGAACCAAGAAGCAGCCCCAGCCCTAAAGGACAACCAGGCCCAGGAACTTCCCAGAACAGATAAGCCTGTGGGATGTGACATACTGGGGAGACCAGCGCCCCTCCCTGAGGGCCAGTCCCCGCAGGTTCATAGGCAGCCCTAGGCCTGTCAACTGGCAGCCAGCACGGGGAGTCACTGGGAGGGAGGACGCCAGGCCCAGGCCCCAGCATGTGAATGCTGGGCTGCTGGGGAGGCTGGCAGGCAGGCCGGCGGCCAGTGGCTCCAAGTCAGGTAATCACACTGGGCACCCTGAACACCCCTACCCCACCTGATCGCACCAGCCCTCACCTCCCTCAACACCCTCTCTTGAATTTGGCAAATTCAAGCTGCTTGGGAACTGAGCCCTGAGGCTGTCTCCTGTCCAAAGAAAAGTAAGGACATAAAGAAGGAAGGTATCCACTGAGACCATGGGGCCCAGGAAGGGACACTGCCCCACCCTCTCCCCTAAGGCTTCCATGACCCACCAAGATTCTACATCCAGTCACCTGGACCCTTTCCCTTCCCAACATACAATGTCACACTCACAGGCCTGGCTGGATCAGTACCTCCAGGGCCCAGCCTGTCCCTTGATGCCTATGCAATCCCCATGGGCTTCAAAGCTTTGAGGACAGAAATGACCAGGTCTCATCCACACCCACAGTAGGACCCAGTCAGGGTGAGACAGGACCAAACACAAAAGGCCAAGGGCCCCTCCCTTGGGGGCCATCAGAAGTCACTCAGAAACCCCAAGTCCTTCCCCAAGGTCCCTTCATCCACAGGGCCTGGGGTCTTTTAAGAAAAGGAGGGCGGGTGTCTGGGTGGCTCAGTTGGTTAAGCGTGGACTTCGGCTCAGGTCATGATCTTGAGCTTCATAAGTTTGAGCCCCACATTGGGCTCTGTGCTGATAGCTGGGACCCTGGAGCCTGCTGCAGACTGTGTCTCCCTCTCTCTCTGCCTCTCCCCCACTCATGTGCTCTTGCTGTCTGAAAAATAAATAAACATTAAAAGAAAAGAAGGAAGGAAGGAAGGAAGGAAGAAAAGAAAGAAGGAAAGAAAAGAAGGGAGCACATCAAGTTCTAAATTGGACCTAAGGGGCTTACCTGGCTTTACCCATCTCTTTTCACTCTTCTTTTCATTCAGTGAAAAGAACAAAGGGGCACAGCCTTGTTTTAGTGACCATCCTCAGAGTATATTCAGGACCCACAGCCACAGCAGGCTTGGGAAATAACTAGGATCTCCCCAGACTTCCTGGGTCAGAAACTCTGGGAGTGGGGCCAGCACTAGGTTTTTAACAAGACCTCCAAGGGGGTCTGGGGCAGCTACAGTGTGAGAGCTCCTGGTTAACAGCTTTCCTCTTCCACCCTCAGACACCGCCCCCCCCAGACCGCCCCCATTGATTGCCTCAATTGGTTCTTCCTGGCAGAGAGCCCAGAACCCCAAAAGGCTTCTTTAAAGAAATACCTCCTAAGGGATCCTCCTAGTTTTTGTTTGGTTTTGTTTTGTTTTTTTGTCTAAAAACCACACCCTGGCTGATGCTTGAAATTCTAATCTGTCTGAATGTCCCTCTCACCAATGGTGGGACTGGGGCAGGTGGGGGACTTGAAGGTCAGATGCCCTCCTTAGCTCACAAACTGGAAGCCCCTTCCAACAAGGCCAGGGGCTTCCAGATCTGTCTCAGTGTCTGATCTCCTTTTCAAAGGCAGTGCTAAGCATCTAAGCGAGGAAAGAATAGAACATTCTGCAAGCCCAGCCTGCCTGAGAGATAAAGAACAGAAAGGAAGTGCGGAGGTGGCGGTGGCTTTCACAGTAAGTCGCCTGGACCTGTACCCCAAGAGGCCACCATAGCCTGCTATGGCACCCCAACTGTCCCTCCACTGTCCCAGATAACAGAGTTGGGGCTGATGGGATGCTTTTTCATGGTCCAGCCCTGACCCTTGCACCACGGAGGGAGGTGTGCTCACCCTGCCTCCTGTCAGCTCTCCATGCAAATATGAGCTGAGTTACATAGGGTGCAGGAGCCCCCAGGAGCTGCTTCACCCCACTCCCCAAATCTCAGGGCTAGAGCTCTGTATGTCCCTGTCTCAGCCCCACCTGGTAGTGTATCAGACACTGCCTCGGGCACCCAGGAGGCATCTATATACACTCGACATTCTGATTGAGGACACACGAACATCAGAGAAAAGAGACAAAAAATGTTAGACAGGAGGAAAAGGGAAAGAAGATACAGTGACTACCAGGACAGAGGGCTCCCTCAGACTGGGTGGTCAGGGGCATCTGCCAAGGAGAGGAAAGGTAAGAAGGAGCTGGTGGCTGCAGGAAGAGGAAGCATCCAGCAGCACACAGCAGCTAGTACAGTCTCTAGACAGCAGCCTCTCAGTGATTCCAAGGACAGATGGGAGGCCAGAGAGGGTGGGTGGTGGGGGAGGGGAAGCAGGGGACAGATGGCCAGAGAGGGTGGCAGGACCAGTGTGCAGAGCTAGGGTTTTATTCCGAGGGTGGCAGGAACACGTCATGAGATTAAGCAGGGGTCACACTTTTAAATGGTCCCTCTGGTTGTGGTGGAGACAGATTTAGGACTGACCACAGTAGACAAGACCACTCTGGCCAGTGCCTGTGGCAGGGCAGTCCTGCTCACCCTGGGAACCCTCCTGGGCCCCCGTGGGCCAAAGCAGTGAAAGGAATTCTCCCAGAGCCCTCTACCCCACTCCAGTGCAACGGGAGATTTGTTTTATATCTTCAAAGGGTACATTTTGTCAATAAAATTCAGAGCTTACTTTATTTAAAAATTAAAAAATTAATACTCAATTCAACAAAGTCCCAGATATAAAGGGACTAGTTCTTCCTTCAGCTTTTAAATTCTCTTACTAAATGGCTTATTTTATACATAAACCTAGTAAGTTTTAGTCATCACTTTGTTCAGGAAGGGCTTTGATTTATGTTTTGGCCCATCCACATATTTTGTTAATTATACTCCTTTAAATGTTTTAAACTGCATTTGTGCATTTAATTTTAATTTGATTTTAAGTACTTCAACTGTATCAATGAAAAAAAAAACCTTCCCAAGTACTTCAGTACTGTTTTATAAATCTAATACATTAAACTATAGAGACTCACATTCTCTGAGTATTCCAATACTGTATAAGAACTTAGATTTCTAGTTAAAAATCTCAAGTCTAAATTACTCAATTATGGCTTTAAATTCTAATTAGAAAGTTGGTCTATGAGTCTAATCGCCCAGATTATCTTAAACATGACGAATGCTGGAAAGACCAAAAGTATCTGTTTAAACAATGTTAAAATTGTGGGTTTCCTTCTCTTAGACATTTGGATTGACAATTCTACAGTTTTGTCATCCAAAATAATATCAGAGTTACCTTTCTAAGAAATGTTGGGCTCTGTTCTTGGCTGGCAGAACATTTACTGTTGGGAGAGGTTCTGCCTCGTGACTGTCTGCCCGGCAGGCTGGGCCTGACCTACAATTGCTCTTCCAAACCCTTCTCCAATTTAACAGAGAGCCAGTCTTCCCAGTCAAGTCTCTAGACACGAGTCACCTGTCATCTAATTCCTGTCTCTATTCATAGATGTTTGCAGTCCTCACACTCCTGACTTTACACTTTTCTCCAACTGGCCTATGTATTGCTTCATTCAGTTCTGGATTCTTTTCCAGGTCTTCCTATCTGTTCGGAGGCATTTAAATGGCATCTGGCTGACTGTCCCCCAGCCTGGTGACACCTGACTGCTGCTGCTCGATCATGTTGTCCTCTGTGTTCTGGCCGTCTTTCCCTAACCAGTCAAGTAGACTGTGCTGTTTGGTGGCCCCAGCCCACCCCAGATAGATGTCCAGCAGCACAGACAGGATGACAGGGGTGTCCCAAACCCCTCCATGGATCTGGAGTACCAGTCTGTGTGAGGAGAAAGCCCCAGCCATGGGCACCCCCTAGAACCAGCCTCCTAGCAACAACCCCACTCACCCAGACTGGTATATTCAGAGATGGACAATAACAAGTGTGTGTGAGAACATGGAGTAATTGGAAATCTCATTCATACACTGCTGGTGGAAATGTGAAGTGGTACAGAAGGAAAACAGCCTGGCAATTCCTCAAATGGTTAAATGTAGGGTTACCACATGACCCAGCAATTCCACTCCTAGGTATAGACCCGAAAGAAATGGGCATATGCCCACATAAAAACTTGTGCATGAATACTCAAAGAAGCATCATTCATGAGAGTCATAAAGTACAAACAACCCAAATGTCCTTCAACTGATGAATGGATTAAAAAAAGTGGTATATCCATTCAATGGATAGTTATTCAGCCATAAAAAGGAATGAAGTACAGGGGCACCTGGGTGGCTCAGTCAGGTAAGTGTCCAACTTCAGCTCATGTCATGATCTTGCAGTTCCTGGGTTCGAGCCCCATGTTGGGCTCTGTGCTGACAGCTCAGAGTCTGGAGCCTTCTTCAGATTCTGTGTTTCCCTCTCTCTCTGCCCCTCTCCTACTCGCAGTCTGTCTCTCTCTGTCTCTCAAAAATGAATAAACGTTAATTTTTTTTTTTTAAATTGGGGAGCCTAGGTGGCTCAGTTGGTTAAGTGCCTGAATTCGTTCAGGTCATGATCTCATTGTTCATGAATTCAAGCCCCGTGTTGGGTTCTCTGCTGACGGCTCAAGCCTGGAGCCTGCTTCATTTTCTGTCTCCCTCTCTCTCTGCCCCTCACCCGCTCATGCTATGTCTCTCTCTCTCTCAACAACAAATAAACATTAAAAAAATTTTTTAATTAAAAAAAAAGGAATGAAGTACTGATATGCCCTATAATATGGATGAACCTTGAAAATATTATAAGTGAAAGAAGCCAGACAAAAATGCCATATATTAAATGGTTCCAATTCACATGAAATAGTCAGAATAATAAATGATTGTGGGGGGGGGGAAGGGGAATAGTGGGGGTGAGAGATAAAGGGTATGTTTTAAGGTGATGAAAATGTTCTAAAATTGTCTGTGGGGATGGTTGCACTTATCTCCGAATATACCAAAATCCATTGAATGGTATCCATGAAGTGGGTGAATTGTATGATATATGAATTATACCTCAATGAAACTGTTGTAGCAAAAAATGTGTGCCCAGAGAAATCTTGTTTCCACTCCTACTCCCTCTGCCTGTATCCACAGGACTTCTTTTTGCAAAATAAGTGAAGTATATATATATATATATATATATATATGTAAATTTATTTAAATGTCCCCTACTTTCTTATAAAAGTAGTAGTGTCTTATGTGAACAATTTGGCACCTTACTTTTTTTTTAATTTGTTTTTTTTTTTTAACTTAACAGTGTATCCTAACGCTAGCTGTTTCCATGTCTCTCCGTCTTTTCGATGGGTACCCAGGACCTCCTGGTGGGGGGTGTCATGCACCACTAGGAACACCCATGCCTACCTGTTGCTTCATCTCTGTCCTGGTGGTTCACTGGGGGAGGCTCCTGAATCCAGGCACACTTGAACGCTCTTTGGTGGCTATTGCGCACTGCCGCGCCCTCCAGCTCCGTAGCTGGTCCCTGCCGCCTCCAACTTCTCACCTGCAAACCGGCTGTTGTGGGAGTCAAGCAAGTTGATACTGGTCGAAGACGTAGAACAGTGTCTGGGACATAATGACCATGATTTAAGTGGGAACTCCTATTATCATTACCCTCACCTTCAAGGCCAAGCAAGCCAGTGTCTGGCTGGGAAGATCCGCCTGCCACCTGGCCCGGTGCCTCCTCTTTGTGCTTTGAGGGCAGAGGCAGCCGACGCCTCACCGCAGAGTACAGTGGGGCTGAGTACAGTAAAAGGGGGAGACAAGTAAAGGCATGAGCAGGGGCCTTCAAATG